GTAGATTATTTCCCTGTGATCAAACTTTATTATTTTTTATCACGAGAGACTCAGTGAACAAGCAATCAGTCACAGCAAGTCAGAAACTGGCGCTTTGTATTCATCATATGCCCCTCTTAAAATCAAAATCTTCTCAACCTTTGAAGTTTTTATGAGACACTTTTACTATAGAAGATTAATACCCACATATTCTAGTTTTAAAACCTGTACAAGTAGCTATATAGCTAATCTGTAAAATGTTTCTTATATATGAATATTCTTTTATCCTTTATTTGAAACCGTTTGTATTCATGCATAATTTTGACAACGTGGTACAAACAAATATGATTCAGGATTATTAAAATATTACATCTCAAGAAATATCACCATTTAGAATGTATCTTGCAATATATGTGAATTATGCAGTCAAGTAAACCTTTATGAACTAGAAATATGTCCATAGGACATGAATGCCCCGTCGAGGGTATATTAGTAATGCAACATTTTAACACAAATTGAGAAAAGTGAGGTCAAGGTCAAAGGAAAGGTCAAGGTGAAAAAATATTGATGCAGTTGAATAGCTTACATCAGTATGTATCAGCATATGAAGTTTGACACTAATTTAAGAAAATGAGGTCAAGGTCAAAGGAAAGGCCAAAAATTCTTGATGCAGTTGAAAAGGTTACATCAGTATGTATTAGCATATGAAGTTTGATAAAAATATTATGAATGGTTTCTTTAAAACTGAGCTTAACACTATTAAGAAAAGTTAGGTCTAGGTCGAAGGAAAGGTCAAGGTAAAAAATTTTGACGCAGTTGAATAGCTCTCATCAGTATGTATCAGCATATGAAGTTTTACACTAATTTAAGAAAAGTGAGGTCGAAAGGTCAAGGTCAAAAAATGTTGATGCAGTTGAATAGCTCTCATCAGTATATATATCAGCATATGAAGTTTGATAACACTCTCTTGAATGGTATCTTTAAAACTGAGCTAAAAACTTATTTAAGAAAATGAGGTCAAGGTCAAAGGAAAGGTCAAGGTAAAAAATATTGATGCAGTTGAATAGCTCTCATCAGTATGTATCAGCATATGAATTTTGTTAAAAATATCTTGAATGGTGTCATTAAAACTGAGCTAAACACTAATTTAAGAAAAATGAGGTCAAGGTCAAAAGAAAGGTCAAAGTCAAAAAATGTTGATGCAGTTGAATAGCTTACATCAGTATGTATCAACATATGAAGTTTGATTACACTATCTTGAATGGTATCTTTAAAACTGAGCTAAACACTAATTTAAGAAAAGTGAGGTCAAGGTCAAAAGAAAGGTCAAGGTCAAAAAATGTTGAAGCAGTTGAATAGCTTACATCAGTATGTATCAACATATGAAGTTTGATTACACTATCTTGAATGGTATCTTTAAAACTGAGCTAAACTCTAATTTAAGAAAAGTGAGGTCAAGGTCAAAGGAAAGGTCAAGGTCAAAAAATGTTGATCCAGTTGCATAGCTCTCATCAATATCTATCAGCATATGAAGATTGATAAAAATATCTTGCATAGTTTCTTTGAAACTGAGCTTTGAACAGAGCTAAATGCAAAGTGTGACGGAAGGAGACGGAAGGACAGAAGGACGGAAGACGGACATGACAAACATTATATGCCCCGGCCATATTCATGGCGGGGCATAACAAATGAATACAAACTTTTTCAAGATATTTTCATATTGCATTTAGTTTATATCAACAAAAATTGTTGTTATTCCAATGTTAAAGTAAATGCTTCTAACATTATAAAGGACTTTTCTGACACATTCTTCTATTTTTATAGTACACAGTATTGTTTTTCTTGGTTTGGAGGAAGGTTTAAAAAAAAGTGGTGAAAAGATAGTACTGCTCTGAAATATATGTTTAATTCTTCTTGTGTATGTTTAGATATATTCTAGGAATGATAATAAATTCAGGCTACTACTTACATATATAAGATATGAACAAATAAGCTAAATAAACATCTGCAAGGGTAAATACTGAACATTTATTGCATGATTGTGAGGGAGATTATGATATAATATTGAACTGATACTAATTTTCTAAGTATTTATATTTAAAACTCAATTCATCAGAAAACTTTGAACCCCAAGTTAAATTTTGCATGTCATAGTTAGATACATTTGGTTGTTATACTTGAAGAAAAAATCTATATTTTGAATTTGAAATCTTTGAAAATTTGCTAAAAAAGATGTAAATTTCGTTATTTTTTACTGCTTGGGGACAGAAAATCTGTTCGCTATATCAATAAAATCACTATATCCAAGTTTGTTATATTCATAAAATTTTACTAGGAATTGTTTAGAATTTCGCCAGGGATTGCAAAAGAACTTCACAATATCTGCAAATTTGCTATTCATACTAAACATGTTTTACTGTATTTATCAATTACAAATTTAGCTAGATTTACTACCGGTATATTGTATTTCTGTTCTTTTATCTACAGCATCAGTCCTATCATTGAAGCCATCACAGAGGCAGATCAGTGAAAAGCTCAAAAGTATTCATCATTTGCTGTAGAAGAAGATACCATAAAATATATCTTGCATCAGTATACTCCCGTAGCAAGCCACTGCTACAGCCTTATCTCCACAGCAGTCTAGCATTATGTATCGTAGTGTATTCTAATTGTGTACCAAATTAGATTGAAATCAGACCCAAACTGTAGGAGGAGTAACGTTTTAAAGGGATTTCACAGAAATTTCTTTTTTTTATTAACCATGGCAACACCGTTCATCGAAATCAAAAACCGATGCATTAAATTATGTATCTCAGTATAGTCTTCTTGTGTGCCAAATTATATTAAAAGCAGACTAAAACTGTAGCAGGAGTAGCGTTTTAACGGCATTTCACAGAAATTTTTATTTTTAGTAACCACGGCAACACCATTCATTGAAATCAAAAACTGATGCACTAAATTATGTATCTTAGTGCAGTCTACTTGTGTGCCAAGTTATATTGTAATCAGACCAAAACTGTAGGAGGAGTAGCGTTTTAAAGGAATTTCACAGAAATTTCTATTTTTAGTAACCATGGCAACACCATTCATTGAAATCAAAAACCGATGCAATAAATTATGTATCGTAGTGTAGTCTACTTGTGTGCCAAGTTATATTGTAATCAGACCAAAACTGTAGGAGGAGTAGCGTTTTAAAGGAATTTCACAGAAATTTCTATTTTTAGTAACCATGCAACACTGTTCATCGAAATCAAAAACCGTCGGATGCACTAAATTTTGTATCTTAGTGTAGTCTACTCGTGTGTCAAGTTATAATGAAATCAGACCAAAACTGTAGGAGGAGTAGAGTTTTAAATGAATGTCACAGAAATTTCTATTTTTAGTAACCATGGCAACACCGTTCATAGAAATCAAAAACCGATGCACTAAATTATGAATCTTAGACAGTGTAGTCTACTTGTGTGCCAAGTTATATTGAAATCAGACCAAAACTTTAAGAGGAGTAGCATTTTGAAAAATTGTTTACAGACAGACAGACAGACAGCTAGACGGACGGACAACGGACACCTTACTATCGCATAAGCTCTTCTGGTCTCTGACCAGTAGAGCTAAAAATCATACTGCTTTATATTTATTCTTATTCCTCCCAAATTATTGAGTAAAAGTATACCAATTGATTGATTTTATGTTGTTTTACGTCCCGTTCGAGAATATTTCACTCATATAGAGACGTCACCATATACCGGTGAAGGGATTCAAATTTTGACCTTTATTCAGCACTCTGGGCCATTGAGCAGTGAATGGGTCTTTATTGTGCCAACGCCTGCTTCAAATACTTCATTCTACTAATTATTCCTATAGAAATGAACCATAGTACATAGTACTAATTTTTCCTATAGAAATGAACCATAGTACGAAGTATTTGAGGCAGACTATTGCTGGAACTCTTCAGCATCGGAGGTTTAAATGAATAGCTTATTGCTATGAAAAATCAACAACTTTATATTTTGATGGATTTAAACCTTTCAGAGGTAAGAAATGAGAGTTTTATGGTGATAGGAAATTAAAAGGATGTCCAAAGCAAAAAGTTGAAGCGGACAGCCAATTCATTTCAGCCCGTATTAATCGAAACAAGCGGTCGAAGTCCGGGCATGAAACCCCGAATGAGATTATGTGATACTGGTCTGAGATCCGTAGAGATACCAGACCAGAATTTTTAGTCTCTACGAATCTCGCTGAGATTGAGACGTTCCAAGTGTCTCGTGCGGTTTGAAGAGGCGGATCTAAGTTAAAACTGGCCAGAGAGCCAGTAATACACATTTGCGCTCGCCCTAGCGGTAGCACCATGAACCTATTAAAAACATGAGACAGGCTGTGTTCATTATTATAAACCAGACCAGAATTTTTAGTCTCTACGAATCTCGCTGAGATTAAGACGTTCCAAGTGTCTCGTGCGGTTTGAAGAGGCGGATCTAAGTTAAAACTGGCCAAAGAGCCAGTAATACACATTTGCGCTCGCCCTAGCGGTAGCACCATGAACCTATTAAAAACATGAGACAGGGCACAGGCTGTGTTCATTATTATAAAAATAAGCAAGTGTACATGGAAAAAAGATAAGTTTTAAAATCAAAATCTCCCTTCCATATTTGTTTTACTTAAAAGGTGCTAGGCCTATATAAATGGAATAAAAACGCCACGGGGTTGTCACTACCTGACCACGGCTCCAACCCTCCCATGTGGCTTTCGTTCAGTCCGAAGCCGCGTTTTTCTTCACGTGCATTTCGATCCCGATTAATTTTGACAACCTGACTCATAATTATACAATATTTTCATTTATTCATTTTGAATTATGAAACCATTAGGGGGATTCCAAAAAATATATTTGATTACATTTCCCATGTTTATTTGTTGAAATGTCATTAGCTTATGAAACAAAAAATGTTTTTAAATATTTAAAATAGATCGGGATCTGTTTAATTTCGTTTTGTTAAAAATTTCTAATGAATTATCTCATTGCGCAGGCTCAGTACACGAAATCGTCTTGGCAGATGACAAGGGAGAATAAAATTGATACATCTTAAAAAGGGTAATACGTGGCCATTTCATCAGCTACGATGGCGAAAACAGAACAAGTGTTAAAATTAGAGCCAGACAACGAATTACGCTTCAGAGGTAAGCAATCCAAGGTAAAAAGAGCGTAGAATTTATGAAAAGTGGCGTTATGCTATTTGACCCCATCCCACAAGAAAATTAAAAGACTAAGTTCACTTATGTGCACGGAATCTTTGGGCAATAGCCTTTAATTAACAAATAATTTATACATGAGAATTATATAATAATTTTCATTTCATAAGAAACAGACAATTTAATGAAGTACTACACGAGGCACCAATTAGTAACTTGTGTAAGTGTACAGTCTAATAAAGTTGTCACTATACCAGGTCCAGCTCAATCTCTTGATTAAGCTATATATCTTGAAATAGCTATATAGCTTTATTAAGCTATTCAAAATAGCTTGATAAAGCTATTTATATGCAGGTTTTTACAAAAATGTTATTTGTACAAAATAGACAAAAAGTCGCAAGTATTCATATATGTAATATGGGTTATCAAATCAACAACCCAAATCAAAGAAAGTTCTAACATTGCAGCATTTGAATACTTTTAAGCAAAAGATGAATTTCCATTGTTTGGGTAACTGTACACTACCTTGTGTGCATTGAGGCATGGATAAGTATGATTGCTTCTCATTGTACTGAATTATTACCAATCAATTATCTTGTTGACCGTAATTGGCCTCCTTTATAATTTCATTGAAGAAGTAACTGAATCAATTGCTTTATATAGCCCCAAAACTTTTAGAACTTTGAGTACAAAGTCTCTTAAGGAGACGCAAATTGATGAGTGATTTTTACATGCATTATTTTCATCAGAGTTCAAAGTTGAATATCATCACTGCACCAAGGTGCGACTTTTTGTGCATACTTGGAAAATAACACATTTTAGAAAAAAGTGTGATAAAATAGCTAAATCAGGCTATTCTGAATAGCTTAATAAAGCTATATGGCTAAATCAAGCTATATAGCTTAATCAAGAGATTGTGCCGGACCTGTATACATTGATAAATTCAGTTTGTACAGATATAACAATGTGCAGGTTTTGGAAAACAAACCATGATCCAAACATACAGTCATTTGAACTTACTGCATTAAGGTAAATGCCTTATTATTGAACGAGACATTCACAGCATTGAGCAATGTCTCTTTGGACAAGCCCCTAAGTTGGGTCTAACACAGTTGCCCCCCATATATCTGCAAATCAGTTTAGCAAAAATTAAATGGCTTGAATTAAAGATAACCTCTAAATTGATCATAACAAAGCCTTTTGTGAATTGGATATCTTGAACCCAAAAATTATATAATAATAATTTTTTACCCTCTTTAGACTGATTTGCCATGTTGTCATTTGGAACCCTTTGAATTGTTCATAGTTATGTGTTGAATAGAGTAACATCCTTGTTTGTTTTGCTACATTGCCAATACACATAATGCATTCTATTGTTGAATGTTCAACTGGGTAGGTTGGACATTATCATTTAATGATACAACATTATATACAATGTTCAAGGAAACGTGGGTGAATCTATAATGCATATTTTGCGAAATTATGATATATTTTTTTAAGTTGCCCAAATATCTCACTGGAGAATCTTATATGTGTCATTTATTACGCAATAAATCATCAATTGCGTCAGGTGAAAAATTTTCAAATATTGTGCTTAATTACTTTTTAAATTGTGCCAATTGAAAAAGTCAAGACTATTTTAAGATGTGTAAAGTTACTTAAGTGAATGATAAAAATATACTGACACATACAGTGTCATGGAAAGACTTACAGAACTTGAACATAGAGAATAAAAATGATAGAAAACAAAAGCATTAAAATGCAAAAAAGAAAGGAAGAAACATTTGCTTCATACAAATTCGTTAAATATAAAAACGCTTTTCTTTTCAATAATGATGAAGGAATGTTTTGTACATTATGTCAACAAAGAAAGAAAAGAAACATAATGACCACTTTATGTGTCAATTACAGAACCTGATGTAGGATTTATAAACTATATTAAAAACTTTATTTAAAATCAAATAAACAATAATGTACGTGAGTCAACAAGATTTGAACAACAACGTTTGAAAAAGCAGTTGGGAAGCTGGCCCACTTTCACAAACTCTTAGATTTACCTCTGAAGAAATTTGAATAAGTGCAGTAAAAAGTATCAATTATCTTGCAGCAATAATATTTATTTATGTGCTGTTTAGGTCCTTTTACGGACGTGGTCACTGCTGAACTGAAGTTGGTAAATCCCTCAGAAAAAAGAGTATGTTTCAAAGTCAAAACTACAGCACCAAAGCGCTATTGTGTGCGACCCAACAGTGGAATCATTGAGCCAAATCAGTCTGTCAGTGTTGCAGGTAAGTTATTTTTGAATAATTGTAAATTTCTGCATATAATATGACATACCATATGAATGTTAATTTAGGCCAAATAAAAATATATGTGTGGTTCCGGTTACCCGACCTTCCCTAGTTTATACCCCCGACCCTAAACTTTTTTTGGCAATTTTCATATTTTTTCTGGAATTTTCCCCGATTTCCATCAATGGCAGTTTCAGCAATGACGGTCTCCTTGCAAAACATAGTTTAATAGTGTTAAATCCAAAGCAAACTAGCATGTAGGTGTCCCCTACCAATTGACTAGTATATTATCACACCACATCTGAATGCCATTTGCAAAGCAGTGATAGGTATTATTGCTAAAGAAAAAAAATTAAGAAAATCATTTTGTTAAAAAAAAAAAATCCCTACCTACCTACCCTAATTTTTATGGAGGTGTAACCGGAACCAGACATATTTTTTTGTTTGGCCTTATGTGTTGTCCATACTTTTAGGTCACCTTGACAAATTGAAATGTGCTTATGTGATTACATACCCTGGCATCTGTGTTAGCGTTTATGTCATGAATAAAATTTTAGAGCAAGGCCATGCCTAGTGAACTGTAAGCCATACTTGGACCAAACTTGGGTGATGCATCTATGTATCTTGCTTCAAATGCTGGATCTGACCTTTAGTTTTGGGATGGGAAGTGTTTTGTCATGGAATGAAGTAGATTTCAGTTGCGATGTTAATTTATCACTGTCGTCATCATCATTCTTCTGATTTCATCGCCATTTTTTGTATAAAACAGATTCTAATATGTAAACAAGACCAGAACTGAAATCCAGAAAAAAAAAGAAACGAACCATTTAGGCAAACAATTTGGACTGCAGTTTTCGGTTATTTCGGGTAACTGTGACAGCCCTATGATGCATCGAGGGACTTGCTTGGATGCTACATCTGACCTTTATTTTCTGTATAATTGATGATAAAAGTTTTGAAAGCAGATCCATTTCCAAGTAACTAATTCATTACATTTTCCTCTTTAAAAAATTTGAAAAGGATGATTTTATGATTATATTAAGGACATGAAACAGCAACGAACACAGACTTCTTGCAGCGAACATGTGCACTGCCATTATGATTTCGTAAAAAAGGAGATAGTTACGGAAACTCATAATTTTACGAGAAAATTTGTAGGATCAAGAATTTAAATTAACTGAAAAAAAATAGGGTGGGTCGGGTAATCAGAAACACACATACATATTTTTTAAGGGGGGGGGGGGGGGCTTATTGTGAAAATGAGAATAACTTAAATGCTATCTTTGATGGACTAAAGTTTTGTTTGTTCTCAATTTTAAATGTAGCTGTTGCTTTTGAATTGTTGAGAAAATATTATATTCATATTTTAGTCATGTTAATGATCATCATTTTAAATTTCATATTCGTGTGTTTCAAGGTCAAAGTTGTCTCTTTAGAGTCATTTGATTCATTCAATTAATTGCTGTATTTATCAAATATTAATTCTTTCATTACAGTCATGCTACAGCCATTTGATTATGACCCACAAGAAAAGAATAAACACAAATTCATGGTTCAGACAATGTTTGCTCCTGATGGTCCTATTGAAAGCCAGGAACAGTTGGTAAGTCTCAAAATTATCTACCATACTCTATATACTACAGGGGCCACTTTTTTTATTAGATGTGTTTTAAGACTGACCTACCAAAAATCTCAAGAATTTGAAAAAAAAAAAAAACATGATAAAAAGAAGTAGCCGTAGTCTGCCAAAGATGTTTGGAATTTAAAGTATTAACTATAAGCATCTTCTTTATTTAGTTTAGATCTATTCAGCTTGGCATAAACCAAGGCCCCTTTGCTAAGATGAGAACATAATTGGGATTCTATAAGAGACAACAACGTAGAATTGTATTTTTTTATTGTGTGAGAAGAGATATTAAAAGACTAGTTTATTATGGGACGATACCTCTCTAGGCATACAGATATTTGGGTAATCTTATTGTGGGTTTGTTTATTTCAGTGGAAGGAGGCAACTCCAGACAAATTAATGGACTCCAAGTTGAAGTGTGTTTTTGAAATGCCAGCAGACAGTAGTCATGGTCCTGTGACAAAGGTAGTGGATCTCATTTAACACACAGTTGTCAATCACAATAAATCAAACTTTAAAACCATATTAGACCTTAATTAAGTAGCATATTTTCCTTGTGTTAGATTTTGTAGATTCTGAAGAGACTATTGACATATGTAGGATATATTATCTACCGTACAAGCAGAAATATTCGTTGGGGATTAAATTTCGTTTATTTCATTGTTTACAATTAGCAATGAAGTTAAATCTCACACAAAATTTTTTTAATGACTATATACTGAATAGAGTTACTATTGAAATAACAAAATTTAATGCCCACCAAATCCCTTTTAGATGACAATTCAACGAAATTTTATCCCCAAGAAAATTTGTGCTTCTACAGTAAATTTGCAATAAAATTTACATATTATATACATCATAGCTTATATGATGTAGTGAACTTTTCCTATTGGCAAACTTTTTTCCTTTATAATTTTATATAGTAACTAAGATCATTATAATGAACAAAGATCTACATGCTTTAAATTGAGAACATTCATAATTTTTGAAAACAGTAATGTTGTTACAGGTTCATAATTAATTGGCTATGATTTAGCTAATAAGTTTGTATTTAGTTCATTGTATTTACCCAAATTCCCCTCATATTATGAACTAGATAAGTAAGACATTTGTAGGCACACTTTTCTGCTATTTTCAGCAGGTAAAAGAATCAGAAGAAAAACCAGCTTCCAGCAAACCTGTCAAACAAGTCCAGTTAGAAACCTCTCCACCTACATATGTACTTAGTCACTTATTCACTTCACCTCTGCTTAAAGATATTGATGGGTTTAGTTAATTATTGATTTGGTTAATTTAATTCTTTATTATAAAGTGTATCAAGTTAAAATATGCAAATGCCTATCACTGTGTAATCTGCAAGCAAAAAAAAAAAAATTAATTGGCCAGATTGTGAAGCAAACTCTAAAGCACCGTCAGAGTTAACCTTTGACTTTGCTGTCAGTGTTATTAAAAATGTATGTAAGTATTGTTTTTCATTTAAAATTCCTTCATAATAACTAAGAAAGTTCTTTTTGTGAACCACCACTGCAGAGCAGGAATATGATTTTTTGTTGTTGTTAATGTTGATGTCCACGATAACCATGGAATTGGTGCTTCTGTATAAGTGTTTCTTCAATATGCACCTAATTTAGGACTTAACCATAATAATCAAAATTTTACAATTTTTATCTCTACTGGTCAAAGACCAGAAGAGCTTATGCAATAGTAAGGTGTCCATCTGTTTGTCTGTAAACAATATATGTTTTCTTTTTTGGAATTGTAATTGCTTCACAGTCCTGCCATATCAACTTGAGCAATTTGTTAGTTTTTTTGTTTGTTTGTTTGTTTTTGTTTGTTTGATTTTTTTTTTACATGCTTTTGCTTCAAAACAAAATAATTGATAAATTTCTTCAGATTTTAAAAAATATATATAAATGCATTTATCCATAATGATAATATAGATGTATCTTTCATATTAAGATTTAGTTAGAAAATTATAACTCACCATGAATTCAAATTAACAGGCTATCTGTCTCCTTTCACTTTTTGAAATTTCAATTAACATACAAATGTTGAATATATTTATGAAAATCATCTTGCATTTATTTTGAGGATTAATCACATGTTTTATTTTTTACCTTTGATATGTTACTATGGTAAAGAGAGTTATCAGAATACATTTAATTCTTTCAGGCATCAATAGTGGAATCTGAGCAAGGGAAGAAAGGTGAAGATATTCAAAGCTTACAGGCAGAGGTGAAAAAATTGAATGAAGAAAACGCAAAGTTAAAGGTAATCTAGCTAATGCTGCTATTGATAATGAAAATATATGTATCATTGTATCTAGGTCATCATTGATTTAAGAAACTTGAATCTTTAGCATTGGTAGGAAAAAAAAACCAAACCCTTGATACACACAGTTTTTGGAGAAATTTTGAATGTCAAGATAATTGAATTTCAAGATAATCATGTAAATAAAATATGCAAGTTATTACTTTAAAGTTGTTCTATTTCATGAGTTAAGATTAGCTATGTGTTAGGTATGCATGTTATTACTTTCAAGTTGTTCTATTGCAGGAAACGGAGGTCAGACTGAGAAAAGTAGCAATTAAAGATACAGTGTCCTCTCCCCCCTCATCAAGTGCACCTGCACCTGCACAACAGGCCATCCCAAACCTTCCTCCCATTGTTTACCTAGTGATCACGTTCATTTTAGGACTTCTTATTGGAAAATTCATCTTTTGAAATTTATCATTAACAGACAAAACATAGATTTGGAAAGTTCCGAGAAATTTGATTTTGATAGTAACAGCTGATCAACCATGAGAAAATGTTCTACCTGTCGCGGTTGATTGCTCCAGCTCCAGTTTATTTCAGGCACCAGCTATTAAATTTACTGTCCAAAGATTTCTTTTCTTGATTACAAATTTAAGTAGGTTCTTTGAAGAAATTTTTCTTCTTGTTCATTGTAAAAAAAAGAAATGTTCATGTTCAAAATCAATTTTAAGAATCCTACATTGATGTTTAATTTTATTGACTTAAATGTATGGTATGTGAGATTTTAGTTTGTTACATACATCAGGTACTCTGTACAAGCTTACCTAAAGACATAGAGAAAAAATGTACATTGTACATTGTACATAGGTACATTGTCTGATGTGTGATAAATAAAATATTGTTGATGCAATAATTATATGATATGATGGTGTATAATGTAAATATACACTGTCTGATACATGCATGAGTTACTGTAAGGCTGGCTGTGTATTTACTATCAGGACATGGTGTGCAATGTATTGTTTGCCAAGTAAATGCATGTTGATGTTAAATTTGTTTACAGACTTGTAATTATTTCATGAACCAGTAAATCATTGACAGTAGGTCTTTGTTCCCCACCCTCGTCATTACATAGACAATGAAATATATACAATCTTTTTACTTGTTATTATACATCAGTTAGTAGTAGATAGTTGCTCTGAAATTTGTTTTACTGGGAATATTTGTAAGACTTTGTATGTTTTGTTGAATGTGTTAAAATGTAGAGAGTTTGTTAGAGTTTTTATCAAGTTAATATGTTTTCAACAGAAAATCAAGATGTTCTTTGACAGCCCTATCCATAAATCAGTGTTTTTAACCTTGCCAGACATTTTTGGAGCAAAATAAAAAAAAATGTTCTAACCTAAAAATATTGTATAGTTACATAAATCTATGACCAAAGTTTTCAAAATATTCTTGTCTTCAACAAATGTCAAGATATTTTCAGTCTACGATATGATAGAAAATACAGAATAAAAATTATTTTAAAAAAGTACAGAGCATGCTAGCATCTGTAAAGTAGGTTGGATTGAATTTCAATAAATGTGTCTTCCAATCGACAGACAGGAAACTAAGATATTAGGAATCTGTTAGATTTGTATCATCATTCTGACTTGCAATGCTGATGGAACACAATATTCTTACTATTAAAAAAAAATCTGTTGGAGGTTGCTTATGTATTTGGTTTTGATTTTTTTAAACATCTTTATTATACAGTATAAATTGCTGGTTCTGATACTATTTTGCACAGAACAGGTTGGTAAATTGTGAGCCTTTTATGTCCTCTTTGAAGCAATTTAAGTCGCAGTAAAAATCCTATACCAAAATCTTTGGAAGATTTGCTGCTTATCAAACTTCAGTATTGGGGAGGGGATGCCCTGTTTGATAATTTCTGAAGTAATCACATGTTGAAATGCAGTAGATTGGATTTGATTGAGTTTTGTGAAGTTGATGAGGAAGAAAATTTAGGTTGCTCAGTTTTTATTGCTTGCTAATATCAATGAATACACACCAATGAAGGCTTTTTAAGATTTCAGACTTGTAGCCATTCCTATAAAATGTCCACAAAATACTGCAAGATTTTGGTGATGGAACTTACGTCTAGTTGGTCTAGGGAGAAGGTTAAGTTATATAGAACTTACTTGCACTGTGGATGTTTACCTGATAATAATCTCAGTCTAACCATAAACTCATAAGGTGTATGTAATTATTTATTGTATATATATGCCAATCTATGAAAGGTTGTACCTTTGTACCTCTCAAGTACATGTATCATCTAAATGGTCCAACAGAATCTATTATTAAGGGAATTATTTAATTAAAAATTAGTACATTGCAATGTGTTTATATATGCATATCTTGGAAGGAAGGTATAATGATGTGGCACTGTCTGTCTAGCTGTCCTTCTGTCTGACTTGGACACAGTTTTTAGCTCACCTGAGCTGAAAGCTCAAGTGAGCTTTTCTGATCACCGGTCGTCCGTCCGTCTGTCCGTCCGTCTGTAAACTTTTCACATTTTCAACTTCTTCTCAAGAGCCACTGGGCCAATTTTAACCAAATTTGGTACAAAGCATCCTTGAGTAAAGGGGAGTTTAAATTGTTAAAATAAAGGGCCAAACCCCCTTACAAGGGGAGATAATCAAGAAAAGACAAAAATAGGGTGGGGTCATTAAAAAATCTTCTCAAGAACCACTAGGCCAGAAAAGCTGAAACTTATGTGGAAGTATCCTGGGGTAGTGTAGATTCTAAATTGTTAAAATCATGACCCCTGGGGGAAGGGTGGGGCCACAATAGGGAATCCAAGTTTTACATTGAAATATATAGAAAAAATCTTTAAAAATCTTCTTCTCAAGAACCACTGGGCCAGAAAAGCTGAAACTTATATGGAAGCATGCTGGGGTAGTGTAGATTCTAAATTGTTAAAATCATGACCCCCAGGGGAAGGGCGGGGTCACAATAGGGAATCCAAGTTTTACATTGAAATATATAGAAAAAATCTTTAAAAATCTTCTTCTCAAGAACCATTGGGCCAGAAAAGCTGAAACTTACTGGAAGCATGCTGGAGTAGTGTAGATTCTAAATTGTTAAAATCATGACCCCTGGGGGAAGGGCGGGGCCACAATAGGGAATCCAAGTTTTACAATGAAATATATAGAAAAAATCTTTAAAAATCTTCTTCTCAAGAACCACTTGGTCAGGAAAGCTAAGAGTTTTGTAGAAGCATCCTGGGGCAGCGTAAATTCTAAACTATTCAAATCTTGACCCCTGGGGGTCACAATAGGGAATCCAAGTTTTACATTGAAATATATAGGAAATATCTTTAAAAAATTTCTCCTCAAAAACCTCTTGGCCAGTAAAGCTGAAACTTATATGGAAACATCCTGGGGTAGTGTAGATTTTAAATTGTTAAAATCATGACCCCCATGGGTAGGGCGGGGCCACAATAGGTATTACAAAAAGATCGTCTGGTGAAGAACAGCAGGGCCGAAGTTATTCAGGTGAGCGTTGTGGCCCATGGGCCTCTTGTTTTTTCTAGTTGTTACTGATTTCAGGTTAGCATTGCAAAGGGAGGTAATGCTTACAAACAATGGCGAGAATAAATTTTAGAAAAAATATATTGATCTGCATTATACTGCATTGATACATTATATTTAATTTTATGAATATTTAAGTTTGTTTATTCATCACTAACATATACAAATTTCATTTTAAAATGTTAGTTTAAAGAGACATGCCAAGAAATTCAAAGATATACAGTCTCGTTTAGTATGTTGCATTAAGACTCCTGAGTCTTGCATTGTAATTGCCTCTACTGGATCTGTCAAATTAAAGGCTATTTATAGTTGCTGACTGCAAAGAAAAAAATGTATTATTAGCTTACATTACGGTGCATTAATTTTAATTTATCAAGGAATATTAAATAATACTTTTATTTATAAGAAAAACATGTAATGATCAGTAGAATATTTAAAAAGATGCCTTGATGAACAGGTTGATGATATGCTGTGGGTAGTGCTGTTTTGTGTGTGTGTGAACTATCTATAGACACACTCTGACTTCAGATTTAAGATATTAAGATAGGTTAAGATATATATTTCACATATCCACCAATGAATTATTTGGTAGCAGTCATGTATCATTTTAATAACTTTCCATGTATTAATTTCTGATAGTTTCATTATTTTACTTCAAACTGCGTATCTTCCTGTCTCATTACCTGTATCATGTATAAGCATGCTAGAGTCGAATAAACTGGTAACAGATTGTATACCAAGGCAGCCATTTTCTTGATATTACACAATTTGGTGTATTAATGTTACCAAAAATAAAGTGTAAAGCTGCCAAAGTTCTCGATCATTAAAACTTGCACAGAATATATAGAGCTTGTTTTCTGATCTTTCCCTGAGGTATGTACCTTACTTGACGACTATACTTTGGTGTTTTCTATAGAAAAGTTTATATTGGCAAAAATTCATGGGGGGGGGGGGGGTGATCGAGGAGTAAGTGAGTGCCAATAAAAGGAACGCGTTAATTTAGGGATTTTGATATCAAACAAGCCTCAGATTCCTTGCATAACTCGGTAAACTATACTACACAAAGATACTACTTTCCGTTTATTGGTATTCAATTCTGATGAACGGTACGCATTCCCATGGTCACTAGAAGTAGAATTCTTTCAAAATGCTACTCCTAAACTTGGTCCATTTTTAATAAAACTTGGAACAGGTGTACACTAAGATAGATACATGTAACTCCTTTTACTTCTCTTTGTCTAGCAAAAGTTGATGGAGTATGCTTCGAGTGTTTAAGTATAAATTAGATATATATACACATATATTTCACCAGGATGATCTTGTCTTGGTGCATCTCTATATTCTTTCATTTGAAACCGGGTTCTTATACTTTGATTAAAAAAAAATTTTTTTTTCTTTGAGGTTTTGTTGTGTATGAGTGTGTGTTTTATGGTGAAGGAGTACACAGTTGCATTTAATTTTGGATTTTTTAACCAAATATACAAAAAAATGTTCTGCCCGTCAATGATTGATGCGGTACTCGCAATACCGCCCTTGCGATAATACAATGGGCGAGGTTCTCATTGTCGTATATATATATATATATATATATATATATATATATATATATATATATATATATATATATATATATATATATATATATATATATATGATAACTTCCAAATAACTGAACAGCAAAGTATATGTTATAACAAATAAGGATACGAAACCAAGGTACATAAAAAATTCTGCGAAATTCTTTCAAAACACTATTTCTTCTTCAAGAACACTTCGTTATAAATGGGGCGATGTCCTATAGGGCCTGATTGGTTTTAGTTTTTACAAAAAGCTTGTCGATTTTACTTCCAGTAAATGATTTTAGGCTACATACATGTAATAATTCGTTTCTCATAATTTCATTTTATTTCAGTATGTAAAGACAGGAGAAACCCTCTCCTAGACATTAACCATGAAGCATGATATTGTCTACGCCTTTTGAGATTGATATCATAGAAGTTTATAATTTGATATTTTTTCTTTACTTTGCATCGTACAGGGTCTACCCTACCTATACTGGATTCCTAAAATAAAAATCCTTGCAAACAAAGATATATTGCCGGGTCCAGCAAATGCTCTACCAAACCCCTATCTTTACTCCTTACCAAAATATTAACTGCTGTTTAGGAGAAACTTCACTGTGCTACAGCATACTCTAGAAGTGGTGTAAATCAGAAGTGGATCCTCAAACTCTAACGAACTTTTAGATCTAGAAAATTTGAAATCAAAATTCAAAAGTCTACAATATCAAAACGTACAACTTTTTTTTTTACACTTTATACAACCATTTCTCACGATGAATTAAATCTATGATTTTTGATAAAGACAACTGCCTCTTCAATTAAAACGGAACTCGGAAATTTTCACATCTTGCATTTGTCTTTAAAGAAGCACTTTGATTCTACACACAACTACTCTGAAGTTGATAAGAAAAGATACTGGAGTTTCTCATTGACAACATTTATGTAGTCTTCGGACGCCAAGTTTTCCAACATACTGATGGAATTTCAATGGGCACTAATTGTGCTCCTTTAATAAACGACCTGTTTTTAAATTCGTATGAAGCAGAATTTATTCAAAATTTCTACATGAGAAGAAAATACTTGCCGTGATCTTCAACTTGACATTCAGATATATCAACGACGTCATATCAATTAACAATAGTTATTTCCATTTACATGTTGACTCGACTTACCCCAGTGAACTTGAAATAAAAGACACCACAAAGTCTGTCACATCTGCTTCATATTTGCTGACTATAGACGACAAAGGCCAACTAACAACTAAATTGTATGGCAAACGAGATGACTTTTCCATCGTCTATCTTCCTTATTTATGTAGTAATATTCCACTATCATCTGCAAATGGTGTTTATGTCTCACAACTTATTCGATACTCAAAAGCATACTCTGAGTACGACCAGTTTTTAAACCGAGGCAGGCTACTCACACATAAGTTGATGTTACAGAGATTTCAACAACCTCGTTTAATGTCAGCATTCCGTAAATTCTATAGTCTTTATATTAATGACCCTATAAGCAAATGGTTCGTATTTTGGCTGACCTTTTTTCTATCAATTTTTAGACCTTTGTTTTTGTACTTAATTTGACTACGTAATGTTCCGTCTACCTGATCAATACATAGGGCTCATGGCGGGTGTGACCAGTCAACAGGGGATGCTTACTCCTCCTAGGCACCTTATCCCACCTCTGGAATTTCCAGGGGTCCGTGTTTATGCCCTGTTCACAGAATTGTATTGTTGGAAGTTTTTATGAGATCGATCACTGTTCGTTACTGAGTATCTTCACCCGTTTTCATTTCACATTACATATTAATGGTAATGTCTATAGTCTTAATTGTTTTGATGGGTGTTTATTTTACAACACATTTTTCCCTGGATATAATAAAAACATGCCAATAATGTATACAAATTATATGAATAAAGTAGCCCTACTGTTTCAAAACTTGAGATCTGAATTTAGAACATTGAGTACAAAAGTACATGAATGTAATTGGAAAGTTATTTTAAAAGCACAAATAACACATGCACTACATACTTTCCATCGCAATCCAAGACAAGGAATAGTAGTGCGGACAGAATAAAAGCAATGTAATAACACTAAATTGATTAAATTCTAAGGAATATATATAATGGAATTTAATCAGTTCAGTGTATTTCATTGCTTTTATTCTGTATGTACTACTAGTACATATCTGGGTTATTACGCTGGAGAGTTATACAATAGAATCCATTGCAGTTCATTGCAGATGAGGATACCTGTATCGACACAGAGTGAATAGTTCTTGTCCTCGATAAAAGTGTGCTATACTGAGGTATAGTTCCTCTTGACTTGTTTTAGTTATGATGGAATTTTCTTTCCATTTTCTTTCTCTCAATGAACACGATGTACTGCTCAATAATGTTGAGAAGTGTGGAGATCTGATCATATCATTCTTGTCCTTTTCTGAAGCCGGCTTGTCCTTTCCTCAGTAACTTGTACACAACGTCTGATATTCTCTTGATAATGATTATAGCTAGGGTCTTGCATGACCCAGATAACAAGGTCATCCCTCCCCAGTTATTTCAGTCGTTTAGGGCTCCTTTCCTGAGGATCTTGTATATCATTCTATTGGTCCAGTCATAACGCACTTTCTCACTCGCAGTTACATGTAATTAACAGTGGCTGAAGAACAGTGGCTGTAGCTCAGGGTCTGCCTTAAACAGTACTGCATCAAAGGTGTCCTTTCCCGGTGACCTGTTATTCTTGGAGATCTTTATGGCAACCGCTATCTCTTTTTTCCTTGTTTGATCGATATCTTTAATTAGGTCCTCAGCGGCCTCTGAAATGTGTGCAGTTTTGACGGGTGAAGTTCGGTATTGTACTTCCTGGAAATGTTCAGCACATCTTCCTTACTGTTCTTTCTCAGTTGTCAGTAGTTTTCCCTGCTGATGGTAGGTCTTCCTGTGCTTCTACTGAACTTGCTACGCACGCGCGCAGGGTGATCTTGTAACCTTCCTCTGTTCCCCTTTTGCCGCTGCCTTTTCCGTTTCTGCTGCCAGCTGCTTCAAGGCTTCTCTCTGGTTGCCATGCCCTAGTCATTTCATTTTCTTGTTGAAATCTCTACTTTGTGATCTTTTCTTATCTGTCTGCAGTAGTCTTTCTTGCCTCTCTTTTTTCGTCGATGGCATATTTAAGGTTTCCTGTTGAATCTATTGTTTGTTGGCCCTCCTTCTGCTGTGGCCAACTTTCTTCTTGCTGATATCTGTTTGAATGTTGGAATCTGTTTCCATGTTGTATTAACCTCGTTTCACTCCGGATCCTATGTCGTGTTAAACGCGGGGTCTGTTTTTCAGGTCATCAACACAAGCAGACCTCACTCTGTTGTCTCTCAGTTGCTGGACCCGGACTTCCTCAGATTCATCTTTACAAGTGCAGTAGACAGGTGGTGGTCACTCCCAACTTATGCAATTCGTTTGGTCTTCACATTTAGTATGGAGGGCCTTTGTATACCGTTGATTATCAAGTGATCAGTCTGGTTCTTTTCTCTTCCATTCGGTGATTTCCAGGTCAGCCTATGTATGTCACGGTGTAGGAAGAGGTTTCCTCCTATCACCAAGTATTCAAGGCGCAAAACTCCGCTAGCCTCTATCCGTTTTCCGTTTTCCTATAACTCTCATACTGTCCTGTCCCACTCTGGTGTTAAGATCCACTTTGATGATAACAACATTATGTCGTGGTGCTTTCTCAGTCTCTGTAGATGGTTGTAGAAGTTGTCTTTCACCTTTTTGCTGTTGTCATTTGTCGGTACTTATCACTGAATAATGGTGATGCTGATATGTTTGCCCTTTATTCTCACACTCATCAAACTGTTGTTTACGGGTTTCCACTCTAGCAGGCATCTCTCCAGCCCTTTTGTTTGCAAGTCCCTCTTGGTATTGATTGTCATCTGTACTAAAGAGGGGACGATTTCTCTGGTGGTGATTCTTATCCTCCCAGATCCAATACATCTGCTCTCACTCACTTCTAAGACATAAAGTTTGAACCTCATCACTGATGTTACCTGTACCCTTGCCTGCCATCGTTCTTACATTCCAGTGTCCATGTCTGATCTTGTTGGTGTTTAAGTCCTCCATAATCCTGCTGATAACATCCTCATGCCTTTGGCTACCAGCATTCATAAAAGTCTCACTTGACTCAGAAGGTTAATAGCACTTTGAGGTATTAATTTTTCCCTGTTGCTGTTTCCTCAACACAGTTGTTTTTCGGGAACAGGGATGTTAGCCTTGAGCCCATTTCCCAACCTGG